CCTGGATGTTTAAGATTAGGGGCATCCTGAACTCAGAATACGAGTAGATGTCCCAGCCGACTGGTTGAAGATTGATTTCAGGACATCTCAACAGCTTGGATGAGATTGTGCTCGCCTTCTCCGACCTTCCATTGGAACCACAATCAATGAGACATGGTCTATGGCCATAGCAACGAATTTCCGCGTATTTGATGGTGGAGGTGTGCTTTCAATAGTAAGGCAGGCTCGAATGTGGACAACAGTACGGAGTATCAATGAGGGCAGTATTGGACATGGAATGATGCCAGTGTCGATTGTCTTGAGAACTGGGGACCGATCGAACGATCATCTATTGAAGGGTTCGGGTCCGCAAGCAGCGATGATATAAAAAGACATCCCTGACCTCAATTCATGGTGGAAAATTTCTTCCTCGCTAGATCCGGAGGCTGTGGGAAGAAGATCATCACCACAGTTCCCGATCAGGTCTAGTCCGCCCAGCAGTCATGCCTCCCGCCAAGATATTGGATAGGGGCTGCCCAAGGTTGAAACAGGGATGCAGAAGGAAATTTGACGTGTGAAACGACTGACAGTTGGGAGAGCTGAGCGACCCTGCTATCGTATTGCATTCAGGGGTTCGAGGGGAAAGAAACTTGAACCGCCATCTCTGTTGTCCACCAATTCCGCAAAGAATCGTAGCCTTTCAGCATGCTCACAGTACGGAAGGATCAGACGTCAATCGGCAGGATGCGGCTGCAAGGGCGGCGTCTGCAATCTCTGGTCGGCTAAAAGCATACGTTGTATGCACGGCTGCAGGTCCGCGTAGCCTTAGAGTAGTCGGCACGAAATGTCCCTCGCCATGACGCAGTTCGCCTCCTTTGAGTCCTTGGTACCTACAGCCGTCGCTTCTGCTGGAGCGGGTCTTATCTATTACAGAAGACCTGAGAGAAGCCTGTCTGGCCTTCTGCATCGTCATTGGTCCAACATCGGCGCAGGAGTCCCTGCAATTCATTCTTGTGCACTTTCTGTGGGCCATGATCGCCGGCGCGTACTCTCATACAACAAAACTCCACTCCACGACAGATGGGCCCAGCTACATTTCTTCCAATGCTGGCCCGCTGTAGTTCTACATCTCACAAACATCCCATCCCTTCTCCCGATCCGTTTCCCGCATAATCCCACACTTTCACTCCAGTTCTCCGCATCCGTTCGTTACAGGCATTACAATTCCTACATTCCACAGTCGCGGTCAATTGTCCACTTCACACCTTCGGGCACTTTCACCCTCGTCTATACATCTTGGTAAGTGTCTCACTTTCTAACACACTCCCAAAAAATTCGAAAGGAGGTCGGGAGGAGACGAGCTGAGGTCTGGAAAAATCGCTCGTTTGGACATGATGAAGAGATTGTTCCTTTCAAGCTTACTACGCTCCTTCAAGCTTACTACGCGACTTTTTGTACCTTTGGCGGTACATGCCGGCATCGTGCTCTTCTGATTTCTGGCATCTTCCATACCATCTCTAGAACTCAAGATTTAACATATTACAGGCTTGACCAACTGCGAACATGACGACGCCAGTCGACGAGAAATCCGAGTTCATCAGACCCCAATACCCACCAGGGCCCAGTGTCGAGAAGCTGTCCGAAGATGAGGGCACCGTAGTTGGAGATGGGTCTATCCAGGGAAACTCACGAGGACGGGATCGCGCCAACAGTCACCTTACCCTACAAATCTCCAACACAATGGGAGAAGGAGGAAACATGCGCGACATGGCTTCTCCTAGTCAGAACAGAGAACAGGCACACCGCTTGGACGATGACTTGCAGATGCTTCAGATCGAGCAAGCCATCTCCAACTTGGCCGCAGAACAAGACAACGACCTCGGGAGAGTCAGATCCAATGTAGCCAGGTCGCGATCGCGGAGAGAAGAGCCGGTGGACGATTTCGACGTCTCCACAAATCCGCTCCACGAAAAGGCAGCCATCTACAAACCTCCCGAGCACCCCAGCACCAACCTTGGCAAGATATTCAAAAGAATCCATAACTCTAGCTGGCTGATTCGTTACGTTACCTACATCACACCTTTGGTTCTAATTATCCTCATACCACTTCTGCTCGGAGCCCTGCTCTTCAAGGATGCCAGCGTTGGTGGCGTGGAGCTGGTCTGGTTCTGCATCTGGCTAGAAATCGTCTGGCTAACACTCTGGGCTGGAAGAATGCTCGCAAAGTGTCTGCCATGGCCAATCGGCGTAGTGTCAGGTCTGTTTACCAACAACAGCAAGAAATGGAGAGATATGGGCAAACAGCTTGAGCTCCCGGCGACTCTATTCTTTTGGTGGCTGGCCATCGAAATATCGTTCCTACCGACCATGACCAACCATCATGTCAACGGTGACAAGGCGACAAAGAGCTGGGAGAGGACGATGAACAAGGTGCTGGTGGCCTTCTTCGTTGCAGCCGTTCTCAACTTCGCCGAGAAAATCATTGTTCAGCTCATCGCAATAAGTTTTCATCTACGCACTTACGCCGATCGGATCGAGCTTAATAAGTTCCAGATTGGTAGTTTGACAAAGCTGTACAAATACTCCAAAGAAATCCTCTCAATGGAGGACAAGGAATTCGACGCTCCGTCCGGCCCTGGTTCTGGAGCACGAACACCTGCCGGCGCTATCATGGGAGAGAGCAAGAAAGCCACCATCGAAGCACTAAACCGCTTTGGTGACGTGGCAGGCAAGATTGCAGGAGATTTTACTGGCCGCCAAGTCGTCAAGAGTACTCACCCGCACCAAGTCATTCTTTCTTTGCTTGCCTCCACTAGTGGCAGTCAAGTGCTGGCTCGCCGCTTGTATCGCACGTTTGCTCGTCCGGAAACCGAGACAGTCCACTCCGATGATCTCAAAAACGCGTTCGACAATGACGACGAAGCGCAAGCTGCATTTTCCATGTTTGACAAGGACATGAATGGCGACATTTCCATGGAAGAGCTTGAAGCTGTGTGTGTGGAGATCGGACGTGAACGCAAGTCTATCACTGCATCTTTGAAAGATTTGGACTCTGTCGTTAGCAAACTTGACGACGTGTTCATGTTCGTTATCTTCATCGTCTTCGTTCTAGTCCTTGTCTCGCTCATCTCCACTTCCGCTGCGACCACCATCACCTCTGCTGGTTCCGCAGTCTTGGCATTGTCTTGGCTATTCTCTGCTACTGCTCAAGAATTCCTCCAGTCTGTCATATTCGTGTTCGTCAAACATCCATTCGATGTCGGAGACCGTGTTGGCATTTATGGTAACACTGGTGCCCTCATGAAAGGCGATGACTACTTTGTCAAGGAGATCAGCTTGCTGTATACGGAGTTCAAGAAAATGGAGGGCCATGTCGTTCAAGCCCCCAACTCGTACCTCAACACGTTGTTCATCTTGAATCAACGTAGATCCGGTGGTCTCGCCGAAGCTGTCCCCATCACTTTCAAATTTGGAACTACCTTAGACCAGATCGAGCGACTACGCGCCAAACTTCTTGACTTCGTTACTGCCGAGAAACGCGAGTATCAAGCGAACATCCTGACTGAGCTCCGAGATATCGTAGAGGCTCACTCCATTACGCTCAACATCGTCTTCTTCTACAAATCCAACTGGCAGAATGAGCTCTTGCGTCTCCAGCGCCGCAATAAGTTCATTTGTGCTCTCATGGTGTCTATGCAGGAAATAGGCATCGAAGGTCCTCGCATGCGGTATGCTGGCCAGAAACAATCCTTCCCTGTGTACCTTCAGAACGTGCCACATACTCAGATGGCGGGTATGGGTCAGAACGGCAACCCTGATAACCCAGATGGTTTCCAGCCAGAACAGCGCGATGCACCGATTGACCCACCTTTCGTTGAGCCCAGGTCTACGGATGATCAAACCGACAACCATGGCAGCGGCATGAAGAACCACCCATCCATTCTCCGCACTGCTGGTCGCCCGCGCGGAGAGTCTCTAGCTGCTATGGGCCGCCGTGTCGACTTCTCCCTCGGTATGCAAGGAGCCACATCTGGTGATATATCTGGCGACGTTTACCAGCTAAGCGATGTTGAGCGCAATCGTGCCATTTATAACGCCACCGTGACCTCCGCATCCCGCGAGCGAGATGGCAGCTCACAAGCGCGTGGTTCAACAGATCGCCGTTCGAATGATACTGGTCGCTCGACCTCGGTCAATGGACCAGGGCCAGGATTCCTGCAGCGCATAGGAACAGATAGTTCTATGTCTCGCGATCGCAGCAACCATCGCAATCGCTTCTTTGGCCGAAACCGTGCCGAGGAAGACATTATGGAATCGGGCATGGCTACTGTTCCGGAGGCTCGAGAAGGGCGACTCGATCCTCGGAGCGGTCATATTAGTCCTGCTGCTTGGAGGGCGAGTTCTGACGACCCTCGCAGTGGTGCGACTCCTGGTCCATCGAGGAGCCAGACCGAAAATCTAGAAATGAGGAAAATGCACTGACCTGACTGCAGTCGGTGCCCTTGAAAACTCCCGTCGACTTTTTTTGTTGATTAGAAGCGAGCGAAGTATTTGAAAGAGGTTTTTCGAAAAGGATCATTGCCGACCTACACCCGGTCTGGCGCAGCAAGCCGTCTGGATAGGCGGTCAACAGGCGTTTCATTTGTTTGGTTTCGACACATACAGTACTAGAATTTTGTAGAAATTACCCTAGATTGCATGAATGCGCACGAGCCTTTTCTTTCTGTTACAATATATAGATCCATCGTGCACAGTGTGTAAGCACTGTCCATACCAAACATCAATAAAAACCTCACCTTCTTCCATCCTGTTCATACAGATATCAATACTGCTTGAAGCGCTTGAAATTGCCATCAGTGGCCTCCATTCGAGCTCCATGGGCACAGAATCCCATCGAATGACGTCGTTTCACACCGACACCAACTCACCTAACTCCTACGTAGACAGTCAAACTCCCATTCCCTCTAAAGCCGTCCAGCCTTTGTACTTATATCAATTAAATGGAGAGAAGGAACGTGTCTGGCAATGTGGCGGAGTGGTTATCGCGATAGACTAGAAATCTATTTCCTTCGGGAGCACAGGTTCGAGTCCTGTCATTGTCGTCTTCTGGAGACCTGCCTGGCAGGTGTACGGTTTCTTTTTTGGTTTTTGGAAGGTAGTTGGGTGGGATGGGAATGGTGTGGTGGTGTGGTGGCTTGTTGGGGGGCGGGTGTTGGAATTGTGGCGGGGGAAAAGGTTTTTGTCTGGTGGGTAGGACCGGGGGTCGGCTTATTCTTTTTGATCACGATTATAGAGGTAGTTTTGGATAGGAATTCGGGACTAGGGCTCATTGAGCGAACGGCATCGTGACGACGGTCCGATGAATTATATAATGATCGTGAACTGGGAAAGTTGGAGTCAATTTGAGCTAATGGATTTTTGTAGAGGGCGACGATGGGTTGGACTTTTCGTGCACATTGGATGGTGTGGATGTTGTTACAGGAAGGAAGGATTTGTCAATGGGAAATGGTCTCAAGGTAGAGCGATTGGAGATACTAGTAGTCGAGCAGTGTATTTGGGATGTGGTAAGTATAATTTGATCATTTGACATGCCGGTTCATGATGAGTGTATCAATAGCTAGCTATAGTTCATGGTAAATCAAGGTATGCACACAATCATCTACAGAAGGTCCTCACTGTCTGCTCATGCAAAGGCCTGTTGATGTTGGCGGTAGTATACTCTCTTTGCTTCCACAGAGCCCTTGCTGTCAATCCTGCACCTCGCGCAAGCACACCCACCTATACCGTCGAACCAATTTCGAAGCATCTCTTGTCGGTGCTCGTATGGCATATTCGTCACATCACCTATATAAGAAATGAACAACTCCTCACCTTTTTGAATGTCTCTCGTTGCACGATACCGAATGGAGGTGTGGTCTATTTGCTCTGCTTTCATGTTTCGATGGCAGCTATGGTTGAGCATGAAGTACAAAGGATCAAGAGATTGACTCTGACCTCTTTCTCCAGCGACGTTGTTCTTGATGCGGCTGAAAATGGTGCGGAGAACCCACGTATCGTATCTCAGATCGGCAAATATGTTGATGCCTAACTGCTTAAGCATTTCGAAAGGATAGACGATATCTTCGTGATATGTCCAGGGAGAGGGTGCAAGAGCGTTGTTTGGCGTCAGGCAGTTGACTGCAGGGTGGAAGAGCGGGCAGGCAACTCCGTTGTCCGCTTGGACAATGGCCGCCAGTGTGCGCAGTCGAATCATCACGGTCAATCGGGAATCGCCTGCAAGGTCGATTTGAGGGAAATTCATTGTCTTTCCGCACAAGACCTTGTGATAGGTCGTTAGTGCTCGATCTGCGCAAGAACGACTGCAAATCCTCTCTTGACAGCAGACCAGACGGCTCGCCTCACGGTCAAGGCTTTTCATACAATTCAGGCATTTGTCTTTCTCCTCGAAAAGAGCAACGGCGGCAGCTTCGAGAACCATCACGTTCTGGCCCTTCTTCAATGATCGAGTCGCGAAGACCCCGTAGACATCTGGCTTGGGTCCTTGAAGAGAGCTTTTCGCTATCTTGCATCGTCCCTCGGATGCTTCCATAAGTAAATTACTACAATCCTCTACGTCTTCATCTCTTCGTCGTAGCATTGCCTTACTCATCCATGGGTATGGTCTCGCAAGGCAGTACCCGCTCCGTAATGCCTCTTGAACTTCGGCGGCGTTGGTTCCGATAGAATGTTGCCTCATGGTCTCCTCCTTTTCCCTCAAACCCCGTTTGAAGCTATGAAACCACGATTGGCGGGACTTGCTCCTCATTTCGTCCAGCTGAACTCCGTCCCAAAGAGCCTGCAAGTCCCAAAGGACTCGTATTATTACGGTCCAAATGTCTTCCTCTAGCTTTCGTAGACTTGAGATGATATGCCGTTCGAATGTCTCCAGGCTCTTGGTCCCCCAGGTTGTGTCTTCCAACCACTCCGCCAGACCATAAACAAGCAGAGCTTCGTTCCCGAGTTCGCTACTCTTTTCCAAGGCAGCTTCGACGAGAAGCCTCGCCCTGTGCATATCCCCGGCACATAGATCAGGATATCCTATCTTGTAAAGTCCATTGCCGCGAAGGAACCATGTCAGGGGATTGTAGGGAAGGCGTCGTATTTGGTTTGTTAGGTCCTGAATAATTGGAGACCAACCATAGAAACCCTAAGCCATAGCGTAAGATACTATAATTATTCTTAACATAGATCGAAAGGGAAATTGTCTACCTCTTTACCGGGTCCTTCTTCGCCCAGAAAAATGCCCGGGCTTGACGGGGTCCATTGACTGATGTTCCATGGCTCTTCCATGGTCCTTACAGCGTATATGGCTCCTGCTACTGTGCAAGCCGTTTGGGAGGAAAGAGTATCAAGCGAACAGAATCGCTGTGGTAAAAGCCCCGACCGAGAGGTAGATTTGGAGGGCCCATGGCAATCTGATAATTTTGATCGGCCCTGTTCTTACCACGGCAATGAACTAGTCCGAAGCTGGCGATGGTAAACAGTGTACCGCTTTGGGATAAACATGTGACATGTGCTCGCACTGTATCGTAAATGCTTCCAGATCGGAGAATGATACACCAATAAAGAGGAACTTGACAAAGATGACATCTCCAAGTTATCTTTGTGTTCTTTGACAAACATGGCCATATGAGCACTGAGATGCAGTACCCCTCCAAACGGCCAACCTCAGCGCTTCTTGGACCCTGCTTCATGTGATTTCCAGCAAGGCTTTGCTGATTAAACGGCAGACTGTTCCCTTCAGTCTCGCCATTCTCTTCCAGTCTACATTTCTCGCGTCTAACTCACTACTTGTATCCTCACGGCTTCAAAGTAACTCGTCATATGTCTCACAGATCTCTTACGTATCCCATCGCGTCGCTGACCAGCCTACTACCGGTCTAAAAGTAGACACAGCCTAACGCTCCAAAGACATACCTCTAGGCATTCAAGAAACGAAGGAAGATCCTGGTTCGGCCTCACGTCAAAGCCTTATATACGCCATCAGACGCACCGCCCCCAAATCCTTACTGCAACCGACGCGTCAACCCCGCCATATCCATCTGCTGCCTACAGCCTCCCTAAAAAGCATTTTCACAAACCACATTCAACCTCCCCCACCCATAAGCTCTACACTCCTAAACCTCCAGTGTCTCACACTCCGCAAAAACTTCAAGATGACAACCCCATCCCCCAAAGAGACCGTCACTACGGGTGCTCCCTCAACAAGCAACATCACAGCCTCGTCCATCGACACCTCAATGCCAGCCATAAACTCCTTCGCCGTAGAACTCGATTCCACACCCGTCAGCCCCGTCCTCCGAAAACCAGATGCCGCGGATAACAGGAAATCAAAGAGTATCGGTCCCGAGGAGGATGAGGAGGCCTACGAGGAGATGATGGGTGAGAAGGGGGAGGGTGGCCTACTCAGGGAGGTACGTCTACAGGCAATATCCTACAAGTTTTAACCAGCCTGTATAGTGGCTTGTCGCATATTATCAAAGTGGGAGCTACAGATAACTAACACGTGCGTTTAGAAAAGGAAACAACTCCTAGCCGACCGCGCAAACGATCCAGCGGTTCTGGTGGATATACCGCCGACGCCGCGGGCGGAGGAGTACGAGGTTGCCGAGGAGGCTAAAATGGCGGGGACGACGGGGGCGGTTGCGCACGCGAGGTTGAAGAGGGATGAGGCGGAGATTGAGAATAAGGTGCTTGGGAGTTGAGGTTTGCGTGGTTAGTGGGACGATGGGTTGACAATGGATACTTTTTGTGCTTGAGAGCGTATTACTGCTTGGGATTCATGGCATTTGCGAGCGTATTGTAAGCGCGGACGATACTGTGGGAGAAGATGGAACTCGTGAGTTTGTTAAGGATCTCACAGATGATTTGTACAGGGCATTGGACCTTGGTGAAGAGAGAGCCAGCGATGATTTTGGAACTTTGGATGATACCAACATGTAGGCACGATTGATGACACAACATTTATGACAAAAATTGCACAAGCCCAAGACTGTACGGTCGATTGATGCAGGACGATCGCGAAATCAATTCTAGTGAATCACTGAACGATGCATGTATTTCCATCTTACTTGCGAAACCTCAACGCTAACGCGAAGGTAGAAAGGAAAAGCTCCAAGTATACCAAGAAGGGAAAAGAGGTATGTCATCACCACCCAGCCATAATCATCATCATCATCATCATCCTCGTCCCACCATAAACCATTCTCAATCCTCAAAAGCACTACTCATATTCACCGTCTCCACAACCCTGATCTTCCTCCTCAACCCCGCCCTCCTCCTCTCCTTCTCCCTCTCCCTCACTTCATCCTCCTCCCCAGCACCACCACCCTCCCTCTCCCTTCCCTTGCCCCTAAACTTATCCAAAAATCCCGAAATCTCCTCCCGCGACGGACTCTTGGCCCTCTTGAAAAGCTGAGACCACGGACTCGTTGTCTTGGGCCCGAACGACGAGCCGGGGAAGGAGGGGGAGGTATTTGCTTCTTCGAATTCGGCGGGGGACATGGGGCGTGAGATGACCTGTGTTATAGTGGCGGATCCGATTTCTGAGTCCCTGTCTGGCGATGGTGAGCTGACGTCTCGGGGTTTTTCTTCGGGTGGGATGGAGGGGAGGGGTTTTTGTGTTGCTTCCATTCGGCGTCGGCGACGGGTGCTGAGACGCCGCAGGGGCCCGATTGATTTGGTTACTTTGCTTGAGCCTGTTGGGGGGACGATGGCGGTTACCAAGGGCATCTTTTTGCGTTCGAGAGCTGTTGGTTCTTCTGTCAGGGGTTGCAGGATGGATGGTGATGGTGCTCGGGGAGGGAGAAAGTTTCCATCTTTTCGGCGACGGCTCGCATTTCGGGCTAAACGCAGGGGGCTACCTGGAGTGTCTTTCCTCTCTATGGTGCCCGCTTCGTCCTTGGAGAGAGACGGACTCTCGCTGCGGACGCCGGCTTGGATGTGAGATACTTTTGCTGGAGGTTGGACTTGAGTGTCAAGTACTTCTGGGAGGGCTGTGACTAGTGGTGTCTTTCCACGCTTGTGTCCTTTGGCACGGGTCGAAGCTGTTCTCTTGACTCCT